CTTGGCAATTCGGCATTTACTTTACTCGCGGCAACTTCGCTCGGCCGGTTACGAAGTTCGATTTAACCTGAGATTCAAAGTTCGTATTCATCAGTTGCCCCCTTTGTCATGCCGAAAGTCACCGCGCCCCCGGGTGGCCGGCTACGATGCCGACGAGCGTGCGATAGCTGTAAGCGGAGGAAGCAGAAATGCAACGGAGAGCAACCATGCACAATCTGTGTTCAACGTCACAAAGAATCAGAATGTCACTTCTCGGACAAGCCGGCCCGCTTGCTGAAGCCCTCCGAGAGTTCGAAAGACACGATGTTGCTCAGCGAACGCCTTGTGCCTACGCCGCAAAGACAAACCGCCATGGATCGATTGCTGAACTCCCTCGAAGATCGCAGCGCAGATCTAGAACAACAGGTGGTAGATGATAAAGATGGGACGGCTCCGGTACCGAAGGTGGCCAGGCTTCTTCGCGATGGACAAGGAAAATTCATGTATATTGGCGATTCCGCGAGTTTGTCCTTTCTCCAGAGTGTCCGTCGCATAGTGGCTTCGTCAATTGGCCGTTGCGAGTTTACGGAAGATAATTCACGCCATTCAATGCTTGAGGCTTTCCAAAGTAGTTCCACTACACAGACCGGACCATTGATACCGCCCCCGAGTAATGAAGAAGCTCAACGACTGGCTCGCCAATATGTTCTTGCCACTAGTCCTCTATTGGATCTCTTTGACCTGGACGAGTTCCATCCGCGGCTGGCTAATTGGATTGAGAACCCAACAGGCGACGAAGATACTGTGAGCTCAATATTTTACCTGGTGCTTGCCATTGGGGCTCAAGTATCGGATACCAACCACACCCTGGCGGAGAAGTACTTCATTAGTGGTCGTCAGCTGGCGTTCTCGGCTTTTACTGAGACCCCCAGTATCTCCACTATACAGTCATATGTCCTGATTTCGATGTATATGTTGGGTGCTTGTCGACGCAACGGTGCTTTCATGAATCTTGGAATTGCTCTTCGCGCCGCGTATGCGGTCGGCATCCACAGGAAAGATGCAAACACGCTCTTCTGTACGCGAGAGCGACGTGCTCGGGAACGTGTGTGGAAAAGTCTACGCATGATGGATCTCTTCCTCAGCGCCTCTTTGGGTCGTCCTCCAGCCACGACGGACTTTGACTACGACCCGCACGATAGCAATATTACGCCAGGGACACAACAGCGCCTTCAGCCGGAAGAGCAACTATCCCTGACGGTTGTTTCGCTATGTCGTATTTTTGAGCGGATTCTTACGGAAGTTTACATGAGGCAGGTTGTGTCGATCAGTGTTGCGGACAGTATCTCGAATCAACATCGCGCCTGGGTCCGAAACCTGCCAAGCTTCCTACGGATGCAAACAGAGCGGCTTGATGCTGCCAAAACTCTCGAGGATACTTTGGCTGCAGCCCACATATTTGGCTCTTATTACTGGTCGATTATTCTATTGACTCGCCCCTTTTTGGTCTTCCGAGTCTCTCAATATGTGAAAAACAAGAGCGAGTCGGCAGCATTTTCCGAGAGCAAACCCAACAACTCGCGAATCTCGCTTTTTGCTGATGCATGCGTTTACTCCGCATTGCGCAGTCTTAACGTCGTGGACGACCTCTCTCAATACTCGTCACTGCCGCGGAGGCTGCCATTCTTGATTAATTCCGTTTTTAACTCGGCCGTTGTCTTAGGGGCCGCGTTCTTTGCTGACTATGACAACCTGCTTCCACTGGAGGAGGGCTTGAACAAGGCCGAAAAGTTCCTTGGGCTGTTTGTCCCGCATGACCCTCATGCCTGTCGCTTTTTCCAAATCATCAAATACCTGCGAGGCGCAGTTGGTGAATTCGTCCGCCGCCGGAACCGTCAATGGATGGAACGTCGTAGCAAACAAGTCGATCAGCTTTTTGGCGAAGTAGGCCCATCCAACGAAACCTCAACTACTAGTAATAACCACCACGTCATCTCAACCAACCGCGGGGATCAAGCAACAGTCCCGTCTCCACTATCCCCAGACAAGTTTGCCGGCGGCCCCCTTCCCTCCCAATCTGTAGAGCAGGCAACCATTACAGCCCAGCCTGATGACGGCATTTGGGATGCCTTATGTGCCGCTGAAGGGCCCTCGCCTTTCCCATACGACACAGCCATTTCCACTTTGACGACGACAGGCATTCCAATCGGCTGCTCACCAGGCGGTACTATCCCCACTGGTCCACCTGGAATGCCGGACAACGGTGGCCAAACGCCTCTCTCTGACATGATCCTTTCAGATAATGGACTGCTCTATATGGCGGAGGATCTCCCTGTGTTTGGGCTCTGGGGAGACACTTGATCTCACCTCACGTCTCCGTACATCTTTCACCTTCGACCATTTCTTGCCTTTATCTCTTCCGAAGATGGCATTTTTATATTTGACCGTCTTCGATCTCGACAATATCTGCATATACCCCGTAATGAGCAAGATAAGTTGTACATTTATCCTGTGTATCTATGACCGACTTAATGACTACACGACCCCTTTTGAATTACGAGCTGGGCATTGTATTAGCATTAGAGGATTTATTACATAAAAAGCTTTCGTTACTTCATCTGAAATGCTCTGCCAGCCTGAATTCAGTAGGAGAAGGGCACTTCTGCAATTTATGTTCGACAGGTCCTCAGGAGTTGTATATACATGAGATCAGATAAACCCTGAGACAGGGTTACAGAACCCTAGCGGGGTTGTGAAGCGCGTGATAAACTTGGGACCTTGACATCGGCATTTGTAGGGTAATAGTGGCTTTGACTTTAGCCTGTGGAGGAATCCTGGCAGGGAAATGACACGCAGAAAATGCGTCAAAGCTCCAGCTGTCACAGCTCGGCGTGGTCCATGGACGCGATCGATCCCCAACTGAGCAGCTGGCCCGAAGAGACATGGCCCTGATAGGCTCTCTCAGTCACACACCATACGGTAGGCTGAGATTGCCAGACCAACTAAGTGTCGAACTATCCGAGATAGGTTCATTATCAACACAAAGGATAAGCTAAGCCGCCACGCGGGTCAGAAATGCATAAACTAATACGAAGATAGTGCAACAATGGCTCGTAAATCATCGAGAGGGGCAGCTTTAGCGCTCTGCTTCACATCATGGAGGAATTGTCCACGCGAACCTCCCCTGAAGAGTTCCTGATAATGACAGTTACAATTTTTACACCTCACCACAAAGCCTTATCCCCATGTAACAATTACGTCTAAGCGCGAGAGACTAATATCCCAACCATGCGAATCTTGCTCCTACTCCTAATACAAGCTGCCGTGGCAGCAGCAGCCCCCAACCAATTCCAACACTGGTACAAACAATTCCGCTCGCAGATTGAATTCGTCCTCAACAACAACTGTTCCGAACAATACCAAAACTACCTCAACAAAACCCCCGGCTTCGACCCGGAATACCAGCTCTGGTATGACCCGACAAAAGGCAGCGCCTTGACCGCGCCCCTGGTCTCTTGTATGCTAAGCAACCTCCCGGAAAATGTGAAGGCCAACATGGCCAACGCGGGGGTCATCCTCGGCCTCCTCCCGACCATGCTCTCCATGCTCGGTTCCAACACCGTCGACACAGCAATCCTGGCACGGGTCGCAGGCCGACCATTCCTCTCGCTGTGTCTGGCCCTAGGATCGCCGGCGGTCTTACCGGACCGACCCTTCGAATACCCCAACGTGAAAGCACTCCTCGGCGCCGACGGGATCAAGAAAAGGATAACCATCCCCAAACCCGGCGGGAGGACATGGATCCTCATCTCAGCGCTCGAGTATATCGTCGCGTTAGGCGCTGTCGCGAACATCGCGACCGCCTGCTACCAGCTCGGCATCCAGTGCATATGCAACTACGCGACGGAAGTCACCACGCAGCCACTCATTTGGGCGTTCATCATCGCACTCATTCATATCGGGGGAACGATCGCTCTATCACTCCGCTACCGCGTTATCCGACCCCCTGTAGCAGAACCCCGTATTGCGCAGCCGAATTGGTTTCAGAGATATCTCGTCCGGGAAATAACTCCATCGTTGTACTCCACTCCACCCCCAGACGTCGACGAGATCGAAGAGTCATATCTGTTTCTCCTGCTTTCATGGTGCGTCTCCACCGGCGCGGTAGTGCATATCCTGTATGGGACGATGGTGCTTTCCAGCTTGTTGTTCATTTCAGTTCAAGATGCGCTCGCGAACGCGGGGCGGTTTCTTGCGTCTGTTGTGTGTTGTCGCGCTGTGTTGGCATATGAACTTGCTGGGTTGAGGCAGGCGAAGGCTGGGAAGATGGGGGATGGGGAGGGATCTGAGACCTTTCAATTGAGACGTAGGTGAGTGGGAGAGATGCATACTAAGGGTGTAATAATGTGTTGTTAGGTAGAGAATTTATTCAATACATTAATGGTGTTCCTCGGTGAATAATTGTACCAGTATTAATTGTCGCGATTTTATATCCAAAGTTCAAGAAAATGAGATTGAAGACGTGATATGATTACTATACTCCCATAGTTGGCTGATCAGGACCTTCTGGAAGTATTATATATATATATATGAGAAATTCTTTATGTCCGGGAACTAACTTCATATGTTGTGTCGTACTCTCGCTTAGATCAGTATATAAGCCATTTAAACCCAGTTGTACAGGCATACGATTAAGCAAATTGATAGACAGTTCAGCATAGCCATTCACAAGATAATTTCCACTTCAAATGCCAATGTAACCATCCAGTCAATGAATAGAGAGTCTGTGCTTCCGGGCTTCCGGGCGGATGCTAATTTACGTTGGTTCCGGCGGTCCCTCCCGGCGCTAAAGAGGACGTACCGGACCGCCGTGACGGATCCGGTAGGTTTCACGAACGGGGGTTCATTCTTATGCTGGACAAGCATATATAGCATAACGGGGATAATATATTTGTGCAGGTATTGCTGGGATTATTCTTGTCTACGGTGCCCATGTAAGAGGCTTTGGCTGGGTTCTTCTTATGCATGTATCATACAACTGGTACGTCACAGATTGAAGACAAAATCTATCTCATTCAAAGCTCACTGAACACTATAGGCCATGCCATCAGGCGCAGGTTATTGACATGTAACAACAAGACCATAGCCAAGAACAAGGGCGTAAGCATAACTACTAGTCCACTCCCCCTTCCCCTTCCATAATCTCTGTCTCCATGCGTCATACTTCCTTCCCATTCAAGTGCTCAACCGGGACATAACCGCACTCCCACAATCCCTGTTTCCACGCATCATGTATCCGTATTCACAACCTCAACCCACTTAACCGCACTTGCCATGCTTCACAATGTCATGAGTGCTACCGTGGCAGGTAATCTTGCGGTTATCGCGAGAGCAGCCCGCAGAGCCACCGCCGGGCTGAACCACACGACGGGGCTCGTTGTCGCTACCGCAGTCGGCGAGGTGGTAGGCTTTGTTGTTGAAATAAAAGGTCTGGTCGCAAGGGCTGTCGGTAAGCCTAGCCAGAACTCGAGTGTTGGGGCAGGCACTTTCGCCCTCGATCCAGACGACCCAGTGGTTGGCCTGGTCATTGTTCTGGAGTTGCTGGCCGTATCCGACGGCGACGGTGCCGGGTACGGGGGCTGGCACTGGGGCTGGGTTGGCCAGGACGGCCGTGATGAATGGGAGGGTGGAGAGGAGGGTTTTGAGTTGCATTTTTGCGGAGGATTGATCCCTTGATTTTGTTTTGTTTTTGTGATGAGTGAAGCTGGTTGCTGTGATGATGATGGGGGTTTGGTTTCGAGGGATGAGAGATCTCTTTTATATTCTTTGTTAGAGGTCTGATTTTGTCATCGGAGTTCGGATTCAGCTATGGAGGACAGGTCCAGTCTGATCCATCCTTCGGGCAAGGTCAATATCCGGGTGGATGTTCAGGCAATCAGATCACTCATCGTCAGGAGTGTTACATTACAGGGTGGCCCTGCAGGGATTCTTTCTTGATGGTGGACTTACAGCCTCAATGGGTACCTACGAGGACATCCTGACTCGTGCCTCACACGAGATTCCTAAATAGGAACAGCTCGATGTCTGTCCAATGGTAATCTCAAAATGCCCAACAGCTAGTGGAGATCACTGATCGAAGGATCACTGTAGAGTAGACTCCACATCGCCCGGTCAATAGTCGTGGTGATCACTGATGGAACAAGTAATGCTATGCCTCGGATGTCCACCTTCCGCCGGCGAATCAATAACAGGAAGCAGTGCTAACATGAGGAAGATCCTATGGCAGGGAGAGGCCTGCAAAGGCAAGGCCGGTGGAAAGGCTACATAGCACTGGTCAATATCCTCAGCGGAGCAACATAAATGAGTGGCGATCATACACAGTATTGGCCGGACATAAGCCTTCTTGCACCCGAGTCAAGCGGCTTTTGCCCCTTGCCTGGCTTCTTCCAAGTATCTCGTGGCTGTAGTACCCACAAATGCTTCTAGTCTCATGTCTGGGGCAAAGAAATGGCAACGGCGATTGAAGGGTCCCTACTGCCCGCAGTTGTCATACTAAGAGCCGTGGTCAATGGCTTATTCATTCAGCGCTCAATGGGCCCTGAAACTTGTTGAATGATATACAACGGCCCCCAACCCTGGCTGACCCAAAAAGCAAGGGTAGGTACCCTTGTGGAGCCCTACTGGCCGATGGATGAGATGTCATTGGCTTGGCATCATTTCTAGCTCTCTTCCGTTGGATCAGTAATCGATAATGATGCAACATTTACACATCAGGTAGCCTGGTAGGTACTGATTCAGTAGATATGGTGGAGAGCAGCGAGCTGATTAACCTTCCAGAATATTCTCCATACGTCTGCATGGTCATTGCTCCACAGGTCGAACACCCGACTTTGCCAGTCTCTGAAGAAAAGTGAAAGGAGAGTTCAACAACCGGGCTATGAAGGTGAGGTGTTAGTGCAGATCAAACCGTCCAAGCAGTAGAACAAGCTCAGGGGGTAAAGCATCTCAGCCGAGGTCCCTGAAGATCATTTGGTATGCGCGAAGCGCCATGCTGAGCGATCACTTTCCTAACGTAGCTGAGACCAGGACACATAAAGGGCACTAAACGCAACCCTGAAGGCTGAGGCTCGTAATCCCCGCACCAATTTAGCCTCAAAAAAAAACAGGGAAACGGAAGCCGAGCCGGGCCGGATCCAGACCTTTTCTTGACCCCACACAAGTCAAATCCCGAGTCATACGAGTGGCTTCTGGTGCTTCATTGTAGTTTGGCTAATTTCCAAGGACTCTTCACGTGGAATACCCAAGGGCTCCGGAGTTTCTCTTTCCTTCTGCAGCTATCGCTTGGTACCATTCTTCTGCTTTGTAAGGCTGAGAACCCACAGCCCCTTTCCTCTGCAAGGCTTCGAGACGCCTTTCCCGGCTTTTGATTCTCTATAACGCGGTGTGATACGCAAATGGGCTTGCATATACGAGGATGTGGCAGGTTCTTCTATAATGATTAGTTATCACGCCGATGCTTCATCCTAGTCCTATTTCCCCTTTTGGAAATTGGTGTTTAGTTCTATTTGCCCTAACATAATTAGGTAGCTGCTATACATATGTATCAGGTGGCGAGACAAGAGCAGCTATGATATAAAAAATAAGATAAAGAGATGAAGGAAGAAAGAAGTTGGGGGAAACAAAGCAAAAAGGAAGGGCCCGAACCACGTGAACGCGGGGCCTCTCGCAGATTGGTACTATTGTAGCCCAAAGCAAGAACCACACCACTAGACCATCCGGGCTGATGTCATTGTTTCCCTTATTTCGTCTCTCAGCGTGAGCTCCGAGTGATCTTGAAGAAAGCACCTTGAGCCTGGAGACACAGCGTGCGCTTCTCCGGCCTGTACTGCACCATGCTACAAGACAACTACAACTATCGAGACAAAGGCACCGCTAGTGCACATTTTGTTGCAATGCTGTGCTAGTTGTGTATAGTCTGACTCAAATGGGATGTGGACAGGACGTATGTGCATATATCTCGTACGTTATCAATCCCACAAACTGCCACGTTAGATGTCAAAGGTGTATCTCTCCACACAAGTATTGCTCCACCATGCTACCCCCTTGGTATTGTACGTTTCTATGATACTTTGCTGTATAAGCTGCAGGTTTGGCCTGCGGTGCTCCGCTTCCAACGTAACTAGCTCCTTTGGTCAACGACGATCCCTGTCATAGCTTTACTTAAGCAATCCTGTGTGTATTTATTGTACAACGTGACTAAGAAAGCTAGGGAGAGCAATAGATGACGAGAACAACAACCATACAACTATCGGGCTGGTACCCCCAGAGAGGCGTATCAGGGCACAGTTCAGGAGCCCATCCACCAAAAAGGGGGTTTCCCCGAGTCGCCAAACATACATTAAAGTAGGATATGAAAACGTTTTATAGAGGCAGACAACCTGAAGTAGGTAATCGAGAATATCAAGCACCAGTTAAAGACAAAAGAAACCAAGAACTGGTGAGGAATCCATATCTTTAGGATTACGTATTGCTATAACAACGATAACCAAGGAGAAAAATGAAAAACAAAATAAAAAGCGAGTGCAAATCTAGCTTGCGGAAGCTGCGTGAGAAGGAAATATGCGGGACATTGCTCCAAACATGACTGCGTGGATCGATTTGATGGACCAAGACGTTTTAGTACGCATTACGGCGTCAGAGGTAGGAAGACGCGATTATTTATGGTTAGCGTGTGGAACCGCCGATGTGAAGAGTAAATAATGTATAAGATATGTGTCATGTGCCGCAAAAGCAAATAAAGATTATATACATGTTCAGATTAGAAACCGAACGGATTTGTGGGCGCTGTAGGACATGGTTAGTAGCTGCTAAAAGGATACATTGCTGGTGAGACTTACTGGCTTGTGCAAGATTAGCCCGGAGACCCGTAGGCTGGGGAGCGAGCTTCTTGGGAGCGTCATGTTTGACACCAAACCTGATTGGGGGTGCCGGTCCAGTCTTCTGTGGGGTCAGAGGTGCAGCTGTTGGCTGCTGAGGAATTGGTGGGATTGGCGGTGGTGACGTGGTGTAAGGCATGCTACCGGCACCGTTCATACCGGTGGGTTGAGGCTGCAGGGGTTGGGGAAGAACGGAGTTAATGCCGGTTTGCATTGGCTGTTGCGGCTGTGCTTGGAAACCGAAGCCAGTAGGTTGAGGTGCAAGTCCCTGGAAGCCAGCCTGCTGTTGCTGTTGTTGCTGGATTCCAAATTGAGACTGTGGTTGAAACCCAGTGGGTTGTGGCATCAGGCCATTCTGGAACTGATTTTGAGGCATGAACGCGGTTGGCTGTGGTTGGAGTGGTTGCTGGAATCGCTGCTGGTTTAGTTCGGCCAGACTCTGACCTGGAGCAGCAAGTGGTGGCCCCGCTTGAGGTAGCCCCGTCAGCTGAGGCTGCAGTGGAGGGAGACCAAAGGAGCTTTGCTGTTGAGGGAAGTTCTGAGGTGCAGAAAGAGGTCGCTGAGGCGGAGGGGGAAGCAGCGAATTTTGTCCCATAGTCTGAGGAGGCTGCGGACGTGGCCTGGAAGCTTGTTGGAAACCAGTGGCCTGGGGACTGAATCCTTGCGCGGGGTTCTGGAGCGGCTGCTGTGCCGGTTGGCCCAGTTGAGAGAAGAAGCCGGGGGTAGCACCTGTTTGCTGTGGCTGTTGGGGGGCAGGCGCGGGTACAGCAGTCGGCTGAGGCTGAATAATTGGGGCCTGGGAGGCTGGCGGAGGTTGTGAAGCGGGAGTCGGTTGGGTAGGGGTTGGCTGTAGGGGAGGGTGAAGCACAGATAAGTCTGCCATCGCCCCGGTAAGCTGCTGCTGTGATGGCTGCGTTGTCGAAGGCGAGGCTGCAGCAGGGGGGGAAGTCGGTCTTGCAGCCGCAGGAGCCGCAGGAGCTGGTGCGGGAGCAGTCTGCTTCGGCTGCTTAACCTCCCATGCATCGTCATCAAAACCGCGTTGGACGGGCTTTTCCGAGGCCGCAGAAGTTGGAGAGGCTTCTTTTGGCTCTGCGTCATTGGAGTCTCCTTTCTGCTCGAAAGCCTTGGGGTCAACCACATCTCCAGTCTGGACAGCCGGCGCTGGTCTGCCCTTGCGAGTGTTGTTGCGCAGGACGCCTCCCGGACCCGCGAAGAGACCACCACCGTCCTCACCATTGCTGATAACTTCCTCCCCACCGAAGCTTACATTCCGCAGCTTAGACTTGGCTCCGGTTCGGCTGAACATGGTATCCAGGTGTCGCATCACCCGCAAAATATCGCCTTCCTTCAAGCCAAGCGTGCGAAGTACTTCTGGGGTAATATCCGGAAGAATGCTCTCGTCCATCGAATCCTTGGTGAAATTCTGAGCATACCTCTCACATTGGTGTGGACCAACTCCTGCTTTCAGGAAGAAATCGAACCAATCATAATCGGACTGCTGGAACGAAGCTCCAGCAAGCTCAGGGCGTTTGTTCTCGGCCAAAGGCCGAGGCTTTTCAGGTTCTCGCTGGGTTGAACGACGTTTGATGTCGGAGAGTGGCTTGTCCTCGTCCAGTGACACTCCAGTCATCTTTTCAACGTATTCCAGGTCCTGGATAGACATTTTCGGGATCGGGACTGCAATCTTGACCCCGTTCATCTTGTGGAGATGGATCTTACCATCCTGGAGGCCGATAAATTGGGCCTCTACAGTGAAGGTTTTGGTGCGATCGGTCCATTGTCTCGTCTTGCTTGGATCTGGCTCTTGGGGTTCATTAGTATGACTAATACCCACGTAGGGAAGGAGGAAACGGGGACTTACTCGACTTCTGGCTGCTTCGGCTGTCACGCTTCTGATGCTACGATAATAAACACAACTGTTAGCGTTTCTAATGGAACCATGGTGATATATTGGCCAAATAGCCAACGGACAGCGCCTACCTCTGCACGGGGCGAATCAATTGAATCGGTTCGTGACTTGCGCAAAGCCTCCTTGGCCAACCTTGACTCTTCGAGCCGATTTCGCTCCACTGCCGACAAGCCAGTGTCAACACCAGATGGCTGGCTGCTGGAAGCATAGCCGGTGATCTCGACATAGCTACTTGGGACTACACCCTCCTTTCCATTCTTCACGCGCCGGACCATCCACCATTCCTCAGATTTGGTGTCGTCAAGGACAATGACTTCATCGCCAACACTAACGCCCACTTCGTCGTCTTGCTGTGCCACGAAATCATAGAGGATTTGACCCTTCTTCTGTCCTCCACCGCCGGAGCCAGCCGCAATGACTTCCCTTAAGCCCTCTGCGCGATAGGCTCCGGAGATTTCACCAAGTGCAGCGACAATCTCCCGCGCAGTGTCTTTTGCGCCGGCGTGAAAGTCAATGCTTTTGCTGGGGCGAACCAGGTCGACAAAAACATGCTTCCCTTCAATAGAGTAATGAGACAGCTTGTCAGCTGTCCATTCCTGCTCTTCTCCATCATCCTCCGGCGAGATGAAGATTGTCCCCGTGGCAATGTTGATACCCAGGGTCGTGGGCATCTTCTTCCTTTTGCCCATCACCTCAACCATTTCATTCACATTGTAAATGTGATAGCCGGAAGGAGAACGGGGTGCGGGGCCGACTCTGTTGTACGGCGGGGACTCTTTCACATGTCCTTTGGCATCCTGCTCCTGCGCCACGGTAACCTGTGGCGGACGTGGCGGTAGACCCGGGGACCGGGGAGACTCTACGCGCGGAGATAACTGCTGGGATGGGGGACGTTGCGGCAGAGCCGGCGGCGGGGGCGAAGGCTCCCGCTGATAGCTTGGTTCGGGCTCATACGATGACTGGGGCTGCGGGGGTGGCGGCACTGCTCTGGTGGCTTGGGGCTCTGCATGCTGTTTGTGAATGATATCAGCAATCGCCGCGGCGGCTGGGTTCTGAACGGTGTCGATGGGCGAACTTGAGACAGGGCTACTGGCATCTTCCGTTGGTGCCGCCGTTGGGCGCTGCGGGAGGGTCGGAGGTGCGGCTTCGGCGGGAGGAGAAGGCACAGACGACGTTGCGGGAGTGTGGGCAGCCTGTTCAACAATCTCGATATAGTTTGCAGGGGCGAAACCGAAATCTCCGCTGACCCCGACTAAGGTCCAGTCCGGGTCCGATGTGTCGTACACCACCAATTCTGCATCTTCCGAGAAGGATACTTCTTCATCTGTTTGGCGTGTGTAATCGTAAAGCGCTTTGGCTGAGTGAATTGGTTGGGCCTATGTATTCAATTCGGTTCCATAGTTAGTAAATGTCCGATTCAACGATGATCCACTCTCTACCCCTGAAGGTGGGAACAACCACCCACTCCGGGCAGAAGGCGGGAGGCCCGGAGGACAACAACGATGCCTTCTCTAATTCCAAATTAAACAGCAAAGTGCTTTAGAATACACCCTTACCTCCTCTATGTAGTTATTAGGCACCAGACCCTCGGGCTCGTCCTCATCGTCATGCTCCGCCTTCTTCTTGGCCTTCCACCAGTCGTCTTCGTTGTTGCTCTCGAGGAGGTATAATAGGTCACCCTCGCGAAGCTCTAATTCACCTTGCGCCTGGGGGTGGTAGTCGTAAAGGGCCGTGTACACACCGAGGAAACCCATTGTGGGTGCCGTCAGCTGGCAAACCGGGATCGGGTTCCGGCTATAATATTAGGAGGAGTTGTATTGTTGCAGTTGCTGCTCCCAAGAGCAGCGGTCCTAGGTGGCCGTGTAACCAAATGGTGTTCCCGCTTGGGCGCTGAGGGAGATAGCGGACGGTAGACTCGAAGGTCGGGCGACGGTCGATGGGTCGGTCGGGGGGGTTAGTTAGTTCGTGGTGGTGGGCTTGGCAATTACGCAGTGGCACTGTGGCAGTACTTCAGGTACCGATATCGAGCCAGAGGCCGCAAGCACCGCAACGGTCGGATAGGAGGGGGGAGGATGAGGAGAGGGCGAAACGGAGAGAACTCCCGTGTGAGCCGTTGACCTGGCGGGGTTGGATTAGGGAAACGAGAGAAATGTGGGAGTAAGGGTCAAGTCGGGAGAGTTTCAGGGAGAGACAGACACCAGAGGGTGAGAATGGAGGAAGTTGGCCGATCCGTTCGGGTGGTTTGGTTTGCTCCAGTGGAGGCTGTGAGGGGGTGGAGCCTTAGGCATCAGAGGCGCTCGGTCACGTTTTGCACTGCCTTATCAACCAGTTCTTCTCTTATCCGAACTTCCTTTCTTGTATACCCGGTTCTTAATACGACCAAAGTATAGGTCATGATATCCCTACAACCTGATAGATCATCGAATGGTGCCTCAATTGGCTTGACATGGCAGATGAAGAAAAATATAAGATGTATTAAAGAGATAGGGCTGAATGACCCTCAAGTATCACCACCATTCGTACTAACCCCCATTGTCAATTGTATATATGTACTCCATACTCCGTACATCATATCAATATCCTACAACACGATAACACCCCAATAACCCTTAGATGAGAAGTACATGCAACAAGTCCATTCATTTCCCTCAGATAGACTCATACATCTATCTCCCACAGGCTCAGCGGGGGCTAACCTACCAAAAGCACACTCCTCAGCCCTGAACGAGGTAGATAGAGTCAGACACACGTCTTCCCTTTCCCCAATCCATGGCTCAACTTCATCATCCCAAACTACACATATCAGGAGGCAGTAATAATCACCACTGGGCACCATCATCGTGACGAACTCATAACCCCGCCATCTAGCAACATTCCTCATGACATTCCACATCCCTTGCATGCTATTACTCCCTCTTAACCTCACCATCCACGCAACCAGCACAAACCGCCATAGATTTAACAACCAAAGGCCTTTACCACTACCAACAGCCAGAAACAAGAATGACACAAATCTACTCCATCTCCCTCAAATCCCTCCGCAACCGTCTATCCAGACACTCCAAGCCCAAGCCAACTAGTACAATCATCACAATTTCTTCTCCCCCAGAAATTCTAGAAGCGGAAACGCAGACTGTCAAGCCGATAAACCGACGCAAAAGCGTAAAAGAGTTTAGGAAGGCAGTGGTCGATTTCCTGGCAGAGCTTGGAGGTGCGGTTAGGGCTATTCCTTTCGATGATGAGGGTTATGGACGGTGTGACTGTGGACGGTGTTTTGGGCGGTGCTTTGGGCGGACACCGCAGGGTAGATACGGGTCGTATGTTATGTCTCTTTGTCGTCTTTTGCTGGGTAGGTTGGTTGGGCAGTACTAATAGTGCATTAGATTTTTGACTGGTCGTGATTTGGATGATACTCTGTGTCTTTTAAGGCCGAGACCAGTTTGTTGATGTTTAGGGTGTATTGGCTGTTGGATTTCATTGGATTCGTTTACGAGGTGTTTATGCCTTGACCATGGGTATGATTCACGAGTTTCTCCATATATTAATAAGTCATTGCTCTGTATGATAAGGTTTCGCTTTGTATATTTGTCAAGGTCTCTGGGTACTGAGGTTGCAGGGGACTTGGCTTGGATAACCAATGATAACCAATAAATAGACACAAATCTACAGATTGTGAAGAACAAAATTGACATAATCTAAGGGTAGTTACAGTTCATCTTTGAAGATTTCCTCACTGCCTTCTTCTGCATTTTCCGCGGACGGCTCCTCCTTTGGCTCATCCTTCAGCTTAGCCTCTGGCACCTTCTTCTCCGGAGCTTCCTTGGTGGGAGTCTTCTCCTGCGGCTCTTTCGGTGCACCATGTTCCTCCGACTCTGTCCCGGCCTTGGCCTGCTTTTCTTCCTCCTCTTCATCTTCATCGGTGTCCACGATGCCTCTCAGTCCACGCTCGCCATTGGCTGTGACGTGTTCCAATGTCCAGTCCTTACCCTGAGCGAGCTCCTCGAGACGGGTCTTCAATGTTTCGATCTTCTCCGGGTCAAGCCCAAGTTTTTCTAGGTCGACTTTGGACAACTGTAACACCTCGCCATTCTCACGTTTAGCTACCACTTCCACCTTCTCTTCTCCGGCGGAAGCTACGCGTCCTTTCTCGATCTCCTTGCCTTCAGTGCCCACCAACTTTTTGGCGCCGACCTCGATGTCACCGACGATAGGAAATTCCGATGGAGTAGTAGACGACTCGACGAGTTTCTGGGCCAGGTGGTACTGCCGCATCGCCTCCCAATCGGGAACCTGATCAGGCGAGAGCACCTCACGACACTCAATCGAATGAACCTCCTCCTGCTGTGGGGGAAGAAACGCGACATCATTGCACAAGCGTGGGGTATAAATGACCATCAAATAGGAGCAAGTTGTCAGCTCCTTAATCCAACCAATGCGATCCGTTGATTGGGGATGACAATGGAACTGAACCTCAATCTTCCGGTTCTTCCCCGTTAAATCGCACTTAGTCCCGCCCTCCAAGTGCTGCACTAGATACCGCGATCCTCCCTTCGTCTGAAGCTCAGCCACATCCGTTGTAGTTGCTGTTGCTGTCTTCTCTGCCGTCTTCTTGCGCTCGGCTTCACCATCCTCCTCTTCCTCGTTAGCTCGGGGAAACCGGCCCAAGATAAACGAATGCGTTGCCGGATCCTCCATGGGAGGGTAGTTAGGGATCCCACTTCCAGAAGGCAGCGCATGGAACTGTTTGATCTGCTTCTTGTAGCAGAACGAATACGACCACCAGCCCGAAACATAGTACATGCATTTCCCTTCCATCTCGCTCAGAAGTTCCAACCCGCGGTCCGTCGCCCGGGCCAGCTCCTGCTTCTCATCCGTCTCGCTGGTTTCCTTGGTACTATTCGTCGGACTCCCTTCGTCACTTTCGACTTGCGGGATTTGGCAGAGGAATCGTTGGCCTTGGAGGATTAGCTCCTCGTATGTAAGCTGCGGGTCTCCATGTTGCGGGCTGTTCTCTTGCGACTCATCTGAGCGAGGCTTTAAAGGGATCTGTGATTTCTGTAGAGAGTTTCCCTGTTGGTCATCGCGAATTGGAGGGCTACTTTGAGTCTTCAGCACCTCTTTCGCATGAGAGTCAAGAACATATTCGTCCGGGAAGAGGACTTGGAACTAGGTTGAGCTTTTAGGTTAGCAAATATGCGGGCTGTATCGCAATGACTGAAACAGGAGTGAGATATACTTGAGGAAACGCGAGCAGATCATCGTGGATATTGAAGACTTTCTTGTTTGCGAGGGCGGTAGAAGTCGCGCATGCTAAAGTTAGCAAGGACGCTACGATTCGGTTGCGCCGACCCATGGCGGCGAGTTATAACGATAAATGTCGATATGGTTGAACCCTGCTTGGCTGGGGTGTTACGGGCTTGCGACGATCTGGCCTGATGAGAGCTTCCCTGGTGGAACTCTAAGACCCACGTCGCTTAATGGAAGGAAATTCTATTAAGTGGAATATAAACAAGAAAGGAAGAGGTATTTCAATTGGTCATCATGGTACTATGTTGAGGGAAAGCCCTCGCTGCAGTTGGAAACAGAGCAACATGACAGCTGTGAAGAACATCCGATTAAACGGTTGCGTTGGGGTTCCGGCTTATCACCACGTGCCCTTTGCACTAGAGCCAGAAGGGAATGACCAGCCAGATCAATGCATGTCATGGTTTGAGAAGGATTGAATGAATGAGAGTTACTGGACATTTTCGCTATAAATTCAATGTTTGTTTGTTTGTTTGCTTTATCGCTGGCCTTATGTCGTACCTGCGTCCATCCACTACTACTACTAGTAACTGGATATACGGAATGTGTATACATCAACCCGATAAAATATGACGAACTATAGTTTCAAATGTTTTAACAAAATACAGAATATGCTCAAATTGTACTAAGAGATGACATTATACAGGAGTCATTGACACTGTAGTGGCCAGAAAGAACTCAGCCATGACTGAGCATTACCTAAAACCACGGTAGGAGTATACATTATGAGCAAAGACACCTGAGGAATGAACCGTTTTGCTGAGTGAGCCCTGAGTCAGTCACCAATGAGGGACCCGGAAGAAATCCACAGACCCACTGAATCAGCGATTGGAAATCGATGTGGCATCCGAAAGCGGACTAGCGGCTGCTGACCTTGATCTTTGTAAGCTCCATCTCATTGCCGATCTACAGCTTTTATGCCCCAGACGCTAATATGCAGATGCTTATTAGTCGATTATAAGAATTGACTAAATGACCATGTCCCAATGGCTCCAGGAATTTCTACTACCTTCTCGTTAATTGTCAATTCGATATAAATATCTCCCTCCAGCGCCGATGAAACTCCTTCTCTCGTTTTCAATCGCAATCACAGCTATCTTCCTATCGCTATATTCTAGCCATCTCAAAGCGCTAGTTTCCTACATACAACAAGAAGTGTCTACTCGCCTCAACATCACCACAAACACAACCAACACAATTACCCCGGGCCAAATCAACGCAGACTCCTTCCCAGTAACAATAACCCCACCTACGAACAAAATGGCCGTTCCCCGCGCAATCCGCCAAGTCTTTCTGGCCATCGAACAAGCCGAGGGTGCCGGTGCCCGCGTTCGCCGCTCAATCGGGACTGCCAAGCTGCGCAACTTCAGCCCCTTCCTCATGCTCGACCACTTCACCATTGGCAAGGGTGCCGGCTTCCCAGACCACCCCCACCGCGGCCAAGAGACCATCACCTACCTCCTGTCCGGTGGCGTTGACCATGAAGATTTCGCCGGCAACAAGGGCACCATCGGACCTGGCGACCTGCAATTCATGACCGCGGGGCGCGGAATCATGCACGCGGAAATGCCCCACGAGAACCCCGACGGCAGCCCCAACGTTGGCATGCAGCTGTGGGTCGATCTGCCCAAGAATCTCAAGATGTGCGAGCCGCGGTACCGCGATCTGCGTGCGTCGGAGATCCCTATCGCCAAGGTGGATGACGACCGGGTCACGGTGAAGGTCATCTCCGGCCAATCGCATGGAGTTGACTCGGTGCGCGATTTGGCCTATACGCCCGTGTGGCTCCTGGACGTTGCGATCCGGCCGGGTGGACGCATTGCGCAGCCCCTACCGAAGGGGTGGAATGCATTTGCCTATACCCTTTCCGGAACAACAGTCTTTGGGTCGAATGATTCCACAAAGTTAGTGAAGGAGTTCCACAATGTGGTCTTTGACCAGGGCGGAGATTATGTGGAGGCTTCGGTGCCAGATAATGCCGAGTCGGAGTCCAGGTTCATTCTGGTGGCGGGTCAGCCTTTGGACCAGAAGGTTGTGCAGTATGGTCCGTTTGTCTTGACCAGCCAGGAGGAGGTTTACCAGGCAATGGTTGATTATCAGACTGCGTCAAACGGATTCGAGAGAGTCCGTGGGTGGGAGAGTGAAATCGGCAAGAGAATGGCGTTCTAGATAAGAGGTTACATATGCGTTCTTGATGTGGATTTTTCGTACTGTTTGATGATACTCAATGTGGCGTTTCTTTCCTGTTGCCTTTTATAAACATTGAAAATGTCGCGCATGGATATGGTGTTTCTGAGTTCCTATTTCAATAGAGCATCTTTGTGGTCAATTCCTCCTTTGCACCCAGTATATTATGTATGTATTAGAATCATGCAAAGATTTTGCTTTCTATTCATAACGTTTTATTGATTTGTTGATATCATAGGCGCAAGAACCAAAAGGAGTAGGGTAAACAATTCTAGGAGATGTGACATTAAAAGATGAAAAGGAATGGTTCCGGCCCCAGTGGAGAAAGAAAATAAAAAGACAAAAAGGAGCCTCAAAAGAGCACCGTTTCACAACGTAACTGCGTCGGGGCTTGGGGCCACTGGCTTTTGCCGAAGCTTATTCAGATCATCGTGATGCACACGCACTCATTCACTATCTTACATGCTATAGTTATACCATCATCAGACACAGATGACTACTTAGTTGGGGGGCGCCTACATGCTCGCAGAAGCTGCTGGCACACCCAGGGTTAAACTCCTTATTTGGCGAAGTGGAGGTCATAGCCCAACCACCGACGTGCGTTTACACCGGCAACGTCCAAGCCTGGGGTACCGTAAGTCAGGGGAGCATAGAACCAGAAACCCCAAATAGTAATGGCCAGAATAGAAATGGTGGCGATCCAGCCCGCAACAAGGGACTTGCGGCTCATCCGTTCCTTGGCCGTAACAAAATGACGGGGACGAACAGACTTAGACTTGCCCGACGGGTCAACCTCACTATCCACAACGGCTTGGACCGGCTGGAGGTTGAAAATGAACTCAATCAGAGCGCCCGTCACAAGACAGGAGGCAAGGTGAGCAGGAAGGTAGTGATGCAAGAAACGCTGACGACCCATCAACCAGAAGGGGAAGTAGTGGGCTCCCCAGCAGAGGAACAGGAAGCCGGTGCTGTTGTACAGGCGGGAACGGGCACCGAGTCCCCAAACTATAGCGCATGATGTCAGTTTCTATCGCTCGCCATTTGCTATCCTGCAGCTTCACTTACTTTCTTCAACGGCGTCAACTCCACGGCGGAGAGACAACTGGTCGGCACCAATTACACCAGCGAAAACAGCCAGTAGACTGCTGGCAATCCACCACCCAATCGGGTTACCCAAGAAATAGATCTGTTCACGGGTATCGTTCTTGGTCCAAAAGCTGACACCCCGCAAAAGGAAGGGCCACTGGAAAGGCTCACTCGCGTAGGGGTGGCTGCTAGTCAAGGCATTGTTATGGAAGAACATGGCGCGCTGGAGTTCCAGGTACTTCCGCAGGAAGGGCAGCTGTTTCACTTTGCGTTCTTCCTTCTGCTTACGAGGGCTGTCTTCCTCTAGCGACTCAATAGATTCGGCGTACCACAGATTGCTAGCCTGAAGGACGTTCTTGTTACCGTTAATTTCGGCTTGCTTGAAGCCCCACTCGGGCAAAGGAGTTGTGTGTGTCCACATGGCCACTCGGGTGGGATAATGAATCAGTTTGAAGTGACTTGACAGAGTTCTGAACTCCTGGCCGGCCTTGCCGTTCTCAATCTTGATCTCGAATAGGGTTTCGTTATGTCTCTCACCGCTAGCTACATCCTTGGTCACAGTCGTGAACTCCTGGTTGGTCGGATAAAAGGGGGAAGCAACGTCATGGGTCAACAGGATCGAGTCAGTACCCAAATGAAGCAGCTGGACGAGATCACCGTTCTTCACGCTGTGGCCCTGGCCCTCATTGTCTTCCAGAGGCACAGTGGGAAGGATCTGCCATTGGTTGTTCGTATCGTTGAATGGGTATCCCGTCACCTGCTGGCCCTGGCTGGAAATACGTCCATCGTCATAGCGAAGCGGGTACCGTTCCCAATGACTGTGCAGGAAGACCTTAGTGTCCTTATGCCGGATAGTTATCGCGTCATAGTACTGGATTCCAATAGATTCGGCAGCCAAGGCATTGTCGCTGAGGGTTTCCTGGAACTCGGGGGTCATAAAGTCGTCACCGGGACCGGAGCGAGTCAGAATGGCGAAATGAACCTGGAACCAGAATAGATAGAAGAAGAAAGGCACCACGATAAGGGCGAAGGCACGAGCTGCGAAGTGCTTGGTCCACTCCAGCATGCTGAGAGCGCCGGCGGGACGGCGGATATCCAACAGATTCCACAAATCAACCAGGACTGCAGCGCCGATGGTCACAAAGGTGAAAACACCCACATACTTTGTGGAGATGACACAGCTGAGGGAAACACCAGTCAGCAGCAGCCACTTCCACCACTTCCGGCCGAAGGGTTCGTGGCGCAGCTTGTAGAAGCGAACGTAGCACAGAATGCTCAGCGCCATTGTGATGACCAAGGTGGCATCCAGAAGGATCAACCTGTCCTCAGCAATGTGCGCATTGTCAAACAGCACAAGACCAGCAGCCAGAACGCAGGCCGGTAATGAGTATCCCGACTCCCACATGATCAGGAAAACGACGGGGACCGTTAGTGCGCCGAGGGTTGCGGGTAAGGCGCGGAGAGCGACATAGGGGACTTTGTTATCGATGTACGAGTCGCCGATGTTCTCGAACAAGAAATGACCATCATAGCCGACGAGCCAGCCCATCGCCGCGAAGAGAAGCTTGCCAAATGGAGGGTGAACATCGAAGAAGTACGTGCGCTGCAGATAGTACGAGGCGAACTGAAGCACATGATCGCGTTAGAAACGTCCGGTCATTCTTCGGTTATATATGTATGACCTACCTTTCCGAAGTGCACCTCGTCGAAGACAACTTCATCAGGATATGAGATTCTATAGAACCGGGTAATGAATGCCAGCACAGTCAGAACCGTTATGGCCAGCCTATAATCCCATTCTGACTGAGGCTTGGGGGTTGCACCCTGGTTGGTGGGATAAGGAGAGGAGACATCCGAAGGTCCAGGGGATGCCTCCTTCTTTCCGCCTCTCTTCCGGAGAGACGGTGGAGGGGATTGAGACATGCTCAGTGGCTGCAATCGAAGACGAGAATTGATAGTTGAAAAAAAGATCACCTAAGGAGCTGCGATGGGGAGCATGCAGCAATTGGTTAGCTAGAGCAGGGAGAATAGAAACTCGGGAATATTCTTCATGCGATGACTTACAGAAAGCGATCAGGAAAAGGACATCATATAGAGAGAGAAAAGAAAAGGGAAAGAAAGAGAGAGAGAGAGAGGCTTGTTGTCGTACGGAGAACGAAGAGGGGAGCTGCGCACTGATTGCGTGTCTTCATCCCCATACAAAACACGCCGGAACGGAACAAGGCGCTCATCCGAACTTTATTCCCTGATTGACCCAGAATTTCCGTTTGCTTGTTCTTCTATATTTAACCTCGGGTTTCACCTGTGGATTTACGTATTCAGTTTTTCTCTTGGTCTCGTAACTCTTAATGTAATACAGAGAAAGTTAAAAGTTAAAATCAAAATAATTAATTATTTATTTTAAATCTACAACACAGAAAGAAAAAGAACGAAAATAAAAAAAAAAAAAAATCAAAGCAAAGGTGGGATATCCAATGCAGCATAATAATCACACTCCAACGCTCAAACATCATCATGACCGAATGAAATATTATGTACAAATCGACCCTGCGAATTTCCATAAATAAGAAGAAGAAGAAAAAGAAAAAAATGGGTGCATCATAGACTGCCAAAGAACTACTCATCATCAGACACGTTCAACAACTCTAGCTCCGTTCTCACGAGCGACTGAAACTCGGCGCGCGTAATTCCTGTGGCTCTAGCGAGCCGGAACAGACTCTTAATGTTAGAGCTGATATGCTGCTTGACGCCTACTTCGCATGCTGACTGGTTTTCGGCCTCCAACTCGAGCTTGGCAACAGCCTCCGAGCTGTTGGAGGAAGCAGATGACGGTCGTGGGTGGTTCAATGCTCTGTCGGCGTCTCCATGGCCATTGAGATGCAGTAGGTTCTCGGACGCTTGATTATCAGCATGAGGTTTAAGGAGATTGGCTAGCAGATCTCCGCCTAGGGAAGATGGTCCGAGATCCGCTTGTTCTTCCGACGGGTCATGGTTGTCCATCGCCGGCTGCACATCGGCATACTGCGAGAAGTAGGACGCCTCCGACATACCCTGGTGCTGAAGGGCAGACCGCGCATTAGGAGCGGGCGTTTTCACCGATGGGGTCCTCCCAGGCGTAGCGTCATACTGAGCCCAGTAATCATCATCGTCGTCTTCCTCGTCTTTAGCGGCTTCCTCCTCCTTCTCCGCCGCTCTTAAAGCATCCTCCATCAACCGTTCCTTGGAGTGTGAATTGGCCTCCCCTATCGATGCTGACCAGGCATCACCATCTTCCCTACTGCCTTCGTGAGGCAGGAGTTCTGCGACTCGCCACCCGGGTCCTCCACCATCCTTGTCGTTGGGGCACCACAGATAGATTGCCTTTAGACGATAGTCCGAGAGTATGACGCGAGACTGCAGTGTCTCCTCATCCACGCGCTTATATTCCACGGGGACTTCATCGGGGAGTTCAATTTCCCCCGACACTGGGTGAGGTTCAAAGCTGCTCTCATCTACTACCGTCTGAAGACGCACAGCTTTACCAGAATCCCAACAAAGTAGTCGCAGCCATGATTCACTCGGAGAAGCGGCGAGGGAACTCAAAACCTGAACTCGCTGGCGTAGCACAGGCGATAACAGAGGCAAAAGTGCAGGCGGGGGCAATGGCGACACAAAAGCCGTAGGGAGACAAGCCAGCAGAGGAGGAAGTAGGGTGCGAGGATCCGGGGGGGAGATGAGGTCGACCATTGCGACTGGCGATATTTCTCAAGGTAGAATGACCAATTTAGAACTTGATCGTGGGAATGAGGAGACCTCAGACGTGTAACGGGGGTCCGGAGTAAAATGGTTCGTTGATTTCTGTATTTACTGCGGAAGAATTCTCGTTGGCGGTGAACCAACAACTGTACATACATAGAATTCAAATGAGAGGAAAGAGAGCTAGCGAAGAAAGAGAGAAGAGAGTTCTAATAAAGAAAAGGAAAGGAACGCATAGTGATCACCTTGAACCAGCTGCTACTTACCAGGTACTTGTGCCACCACCAGTCGGGGGAAAGGGAGAAGCTTCGCATGGTCTCGAATTACTTGGTCTCCCTTCGCCCGAAGAGCGTGCAGGAAGAGAGAGTGGGGTCACGTTTGCGGGGTTGGGAGCCACTGTATGGAGTAGTAATGAAATAGATTGGCGTTGGGAATATTGACAGATCAGAACAGAGTGAGATTATGGGAAATACATTTTTGAGCTGTTTTCCATCCGGTCTGGGAGTCATGGGACTCGGATCGGCGGACCTGGTGGACTGGACTAACAATATTCAGTCTCAACTTGCAATATATATTTTGTACGGTCGACCTCCCCTTCAGATTACAATGGGTAAATATTTAGGAGAAATTTGAATGACTGAACCATAATCCATAATAAACATGGGTCAAGGGGTTCAAAAAATAATCAAGTAAATAATTAACTAATTGAGCATCTCTAATGAATTCGTCAAATTTAGTTAATTTATGATTTATTACTTTTGTTCTACCACTTGATGCTTATCTCGGACAGGCTGACCATGTGATCCGACTCAAGCTGTTTGCAGACAAACAAATCCCAAATGAACATTCCACAAGCGTTCACAAGTGCTTACAGTTACCCTCACGAGCGACGTTGGTTTCAAGCATAATGCAAGGGATTCTTGTTCCTCGCTCAAGGATTGCCTCTGGGATCGGAGAGACAACTCTGGCCAGAAGTACTAACTTAGAAGCCACTGGAACTTTTTTTTTTTTTTTTTTTTT